AAGGATTTTCAAGGTCTGTTGGAACCTTTAAGGCCACTTTCCTAACAGATAAAAAGCCTTCCTTCAGTAAGTCACACACTCACTTACTTGACACTCTGCTCTCGGAGGACAAAATGTATTTGGTGATTCAGCTGAGGTCAATAGATACACACAGGTGGAGGGAGCCTTCAGGTGAAACACTAAATTCACCGGGCTTAAAGCAAAAAGTTTCTGTGCCTGAACTGTTTTCGGGGGTTATTAGAGAGTGTTAGGGTAATAAACACATTGTGTTTTTCCAGAGCTGCTGATGGAAGTAACTAATGAGCAGCCATCTCGCTTACTTCTCATCTCTGTTGAGAGTTGCGAATGCACAGTAAGGATCAGGATGTACGGATCGGGTAGCGACTGTGGCATAAGATGTTAAAAACATAGCCTAGTGAGCTGTAGGCTACTAGCCAGAGGGAGTGGTATGACGGCTGTGGTACATACCGCAACTCGTGTCAGAAAGACAAGGACACCAAATCGAATTGTTTCTAAATGTAAATCCTCACGTTTACTTGAAAAGTCGAAATGGCAAAAAAATTGCTTTAACCATTCACTCTTTCCTTAGTTGGAATCATAGTTTGGTAATTGTATCCAAGTGCAAGCACAGCTTTCAATGTCCCAAAAAATTTCCAATATTCAATATCCAAAGAATATGCATTATCCAAAGAATATCCAATACGTCTATCTTTTAGACTACACTTGTTGCTGCATTGTAAACAGAGTATGCTGCATAATCCCTCATAGCAAAATTGGTCTGGCCCAGTGACGGCACACACAGCCCACTTACACTTACACAGATACATACAACAGAATTCTGTGGGCCAGATCTGGTAGCCACATATATACAGACATAACCATATCTCAGCTGACTGTATGACCATAGCTGGCTCTGTTCTGGCCCTATGTTGGACCAGACAGGTTTCTCTCTTCCTCTCCTTCCCTATGAGCACTGTATGTGTAGTAAAGTGTAGATATATAGTTAAATGAGTAGATTTAGTCAGTAAACACTGGCTTGAACACTGAACACACATAAAACCATTGCCAAAAAACACAGGGTCAGAATAGGGCCGTAAGTGACTACCAGATGTGGCCCCCATGCGGACCGTGATTCAATTCTGTCTTTGAGCCGACTGTGAGCTGTAAAGCGATTGCCAAATTAGTTCGAAAGATTAAAATGATGATATTAAAAAAATTTCAGTAGCTTACTGTTTGCAGTGCATTTTCAACGTAGCGCGGCCATGTGCATTATTAAGCTGACACTACGCTGAGCCACAGTGTAAACAAAGGTTTTTTGTGTACACTATTACAAACTATAGGGTTCCTTGTGGCTGCATACATACATATACAGCCATATTCTTGCTATGCAATAGTTGAAAAAAAAGGGAAGAGTATTTACCATAAACATAGAATAGCTATATTTGAGAGTAAAATGTGCCAAAGAAATTTCAGCCTTTCAGTCATGCTGATGAGGCTCTTAGTTTTTGTTTGTTTTTAGCCTTTTTCAGCTTTTTCACTGTCTTGTTGGTCCCTTTGTTACTATTGTTACTTTATCAGTAAATGTGGTGGCAGCACAATGCTTATAGGTAGCAGAGGTAAATAATTCATGAGGGGAGGAGAAGCTTCGCTGAAGGAGGAAGCAAGCATGCTCATTACCTCTGAATAGACTTCTCTCTGCTGTGTGCTGTCTCCTTCTTTCTCTCTTTTGTATCACTGTGAGTCTTTCCTTTCCTCTCTCTTCATTTAATCTTGAGCAAACTAAGTGTCATAAAGTTTATTTAATCTCTGCCTCCAATGCTCATTATCTTTTGGGGTGAATATGTGATTATGTGTACAAACACTTTATTATAGCCATTTCATTTCTTTTAAAGCCCTGAGAAGGTTTAGCAGGTTTACATAGTAGGCAGCCTGTCCCCCCAGTGCCCTCCTCAGGTTCAGGGAAGAACTACCTTTTGGACAGTGTGTACGCTGCTCAGGCCAAGTGATAAACCCCAATCTACATATTACAGAAAATGGCAAAGCATTATACCAGGTAGCACCTTAAGAGTTTGCATTAACAGAGCATTTCAGTTTTTACTCATCCTGAATTAGCTGTATATTAGGTGTTCAATATGAAATTAATAAAAAAGACAAATATGATCAATATTCTATCATATGAATAAACTTAGCAAAATACTTTGATAAAACAATGTGAACTACTTTCATTAAATTATAGAAATGTATATTTTGATATTGCCCTGTTTGCAATCTGGCATTGGCATTCTTCTCAGTTATACCTTTATTTCACACCATCTTTCACCTTGCTCTGCCATGCCTCCTGCCTCAGCAACATTTACCAAATTTAGCAAGCTAGCTCCTGTTAGCTAGAGCAACAACAACGCTAAAGCAATTCTTATTATGTTGAATTTTTATATTTCTGGAGACAGGAATTCCTTTCACTAAATAATGATGTGAAGTTATTTAAGAGAATCATATCAGCATAACATTTTCCATTTATTACTGTCTGTCTTATTAAGTGATTACAAATGTTGCATTCAGTCATTTGTGTGTACATTTAGACACTATAATAGAGAACGCACTAAAATAGCGGCATTACTGCAGATAGTAAGACAGTAAGTAAGGGCTGGATTTAACAACATTGTTGACATGACAGAAAATATTACTTTGATTAAGTCCTGAGGTCTTTGATGGAGCTCAGGATGCCTGTTATGATCCACCTGCTGTCACTGTATAGACTCTCTGTGAAACAGTGTACCAGTCTGCTATATAGACAAACACAAAAGGTCACGTGCCTGTGCATTTAGTACCAGACTGAAACTCTACATCAGTGTGAGAGAGGCAAAACTCAACTTGCATGAAAGGTGATTTTTTTTCTTCTGTGTGTGATTTTGTGCTTGCACCATGAAAATTGCTTTAAAATTGAAATGAAAATTATGTTTGTGATAAGAGGTACCCCGAGCAGGCATAAATGCAAGTGTAATTTTGTGCCGAAACAAGTACCAGAATTGCACTGCGCCGCCTGATCTGCATAAACACAACCTCAGCTGCTCCACTCCTCTCCCTGCGTTTAGAGCCAGAAAATGACTAAACAGGCAGGTGCAACTAATGGACTTGAGTCGGATGAAAGTGGGAGTTGATGGTGCTGTCCGCTTTTTACCGGCACTAAATTAGAGGCCTTTGTGTCTTGTTGAACACTCTTTGTACCTTGGGCCAATTTCTTTTCTCTTCATAGAGCTTAAGCAGTTCACAGTCTTCTTGTGTTAAATGTTTAGACTGATTAAAGACGTAGAAAATACTCCTAATGACCTAACGTTGAATGCTGTGTTGATTGTTGAATGCTATATGATGCAGTGGCCAAGCCAGACAATTTTCATAAGGGTGGTCATTTTGGAGGGGCACAGAAATAATTCATTTTAACATTATTTCAGACACATAGGTCCGTATTAACATAACAAATACAAAATACAATAGATGGACAACAGCATAGAGACATAAAAGCATTGTCCAAAGGGATTAAAACACATTTGTTCCATTGTTACCAAAGACAAGAAGAGTACCTACTTTGGAAACTACATTAGCCAGGGCGATTGGTCAATAATTTTCTATGCTTGATATTTTACCCATTTTGTCTTTGATCACTGGCACTAATGAGACAACATAGAGTAAGAAGTAACATATAAATAAGTATTGTGTTCAGTTTATGTATGTGTATGTTCCCATATGAGAAGAAGGCCAGTGTCCTTAGTTGTTTATTTTTAGGAAGAAAAATGATTAAAATATTAAATCAAATATAGTGTGAAAAAACCTGATATTTTATTTATAGGGCGTATCGCCCAGCCCAACAATAATGTGACTTATATAATTGGCCAATAACATCAAACCTCCCCGTCCCCTCTCCATCATTCTTCTTTTACTCCCCCTTCTGCTACATCTAATTTATCTTTTCCCTCCTCTGCTATCACTTATGCCATCAATCTACTGTATACATGCATCTCCTCCTCTCACCTCCTCCCCCTCCATGATCTACTTACCATTCGGTCATAACTCTCACTTTCTCTACCCTTACCTTTTCACACCGCCTTCCCTCCTCTACTGTCCACTCATTCCCTCTCTCCTCTGTCTCTCCCCCAGTGTGACTGCGGTGCGTCTGCCGGACGGTTTATCCTTTGTCGTCTACGAGTTCTGGGATGGAGAGGAGGAGTGGAAGAGGTGAGTTTTCAGTGGCTTTATGTAACTTCAAAATAATAATATTTCAAACTTAAAGGGCCGTCCACACCAAGAACAATAACAATGTCAGCATCCACACTATATTTATCCTAAAATTGTTCAACAAATCGCTGTTTAAGTGTTCCCAACCATATCATTCGCCACTGCCATTCAGTGATATGAACCATAGATACGACTTGGCAACAGGACATACAGGAATTCCCTCCATCCAAACAACAGGCCGCAGCCTGAAGTAGTGAGCTGAATAATGGACAGGATGTGGGAGGATCACACCAGTGAGTTCAGAGGGGCAGTGTAAGGGCTTGTGTGTTACAGTCACCATCCTGTAGAGTTCAGAGGATGAGCCACTGAAGGACGACACTCCTATATATTCAGATTCATTTAGAACGGTGAACAGTTTCACTGGGACCACTTAGTAGGTGTCCTACATCAGGAATTACTGGACACCCAGCAGCAAATCAGAATCGAATATTCACCAATACCATAGTATAATTATAGTTATTGCTCTTGGTGTGGATGGCCTTTAATCCTAAACCCCAGGCTGATATCTGTAATACATGCCTGTAATAAGAGCTTGTTAATTTTCTGTGACTTGTGTGAACAAGCCTCTAAAAAAGCGCTAATGCAGTTAAAGTAGAAGTCTTCTGTGATACTAAAAATGAGCCAAATCAACAGGCAGAATGAAACATCTGTAAATGCTGAGGAAGGCCCATTGCTGCGGAATGGTTCCTTCCCAATGCTGATCCACAGTAAAAGTATTAAAAGTCATTACTGAGTGTGGACATTCATTTTGTTTCTTAAAATGCCCATGAGTCAGCACCCTGGCTCCTCTGAAAGTATTTTGGAGCTGAGCGTGCCTTTCCCTCCTGCCATTGTTTTCATTGATTGGTGATTGCCAAATAAAGAGAGCACTCACTTTTCTTCCATTAGTGTCGTGAGCCTGTTGGATAAATTCCTCCACACACATTTAATTAGCATTCTTCAGCCAGCCGCTCGCTCCAGAGTTGCTGAAGCACTTGAGTTGCGTCAGGTCATCATGATTTAGTGATGGCTCTGGTGCTGGGCTTGAGGAGAGGCTGCTGATGTAGCTGCCTGCTGATCTGACTTTCTGCTCCACTGCTCACAGCATCTAACCGCCATTAATATTTCAGCTCTTACAGTAAAGGCTAAGGGCCATGCTAAGCGGTTAGAGGCTGCATGCGCTTATGAGCAGGATATGCAGATGCATGTGCTCGTGTCCATACGTGTTATGTGCGTAGCTGTGTGTGTGTGTGTGTGTGTGTGTGTGCTCTCTCTCACCCTCCCTTCTGATTCTAGGCACCTCCAGTCGGCCCCCAACAAAGCCTTTCAGCATGTGAAGGTGGATACACTGTGCCAGCCGGAGGCCATGTCCTCTGTAGCCGTGCCAGGTCAGTGGTGAAACACTACACAGTAAAACAAGAGAATAAAATGATTTCTAACAGAAGTTAAAGGAGCAGTCCAGATTTTAGACATCAGGATCAGTTTCCTTTTCATGGGGAACACACCTGGGAAAAAACAAATGAAACCTGACTGTACTTAAGTACAATTTTGAGGTATTTTCTTATCCTTTTTACGTTACTTTATACTACTACTTCACTATATATAATTCATAACTACTTGATAAAATATAATCAACTAATGAATGATTATGTATTATTAAAGATTACTATAAACTTCCCAGTAATCCGTTTACCACCTCCTTTACCACCTGCAGCCAACAATATTATATATAATGCACATTTTTTCATAATGAGTGCAATTACCTTCGGTACTTTCATTTTGATGCTAATAATTCTGTACTTTTACTCAAGTAACACTTTGAATGACTATTACTTAAGTATGTAATATTTACTGTATGTATCAAAAGCAATTTTCTGGTATTAAATGTACTCAAAGAATTCAAAGTAAAGGCTGTTAAAGCTGCAGTAGATAACTTTTCTAAAAATAACTGTCATATTTGCTAAAAAAATCTGGTTCTTCTGGCTCCTCCTAGTGTTCCTAATGGCATTTGCAAGAATAATAGTTACTTACATAAAACTTACTTACTACAGCTTTAAGTAACATTTTGATTGCAGGGTTTTACTCAATATCAAATATTTTACATTGTACGTAAGACAATTATATTGCTAATTGTATTTAATTGAAAGTAGTGGCGGATAAAGTACCTGAAAGCCACACTAGAAATTGACTTTGGTAAAAGTTAAAGTCACCTATTACAATATTACTTGAGTAAAAGTTAAAGTATGTAATATTTACTGTACTTAAGTATCAAAAGTAAATTTCTGATATCAAATGTACTCAAAGTACAAGTAAAAGCTGTTAATAAAAAAGCATGTGGTCGGAATTTGGGTAATTATGAAGTTTATTCTTCAAACATACACATGAAAAATGCAGCTTATATTACACTTGAAGAAAAACAAGGTCTTCACAACTCGAAGAACTTTAACTTAAAAAAAAAAAAAAAAAACAGATTTACCCTCAGGAGCTGAAGGACTAATATAACTAATAAAGCCACTAGATTGAGTTATCCTGCAGCACATACTGTAGGCCTGGTACACATAAAAGAGACGTAACATGATATTTTGAATGATTGCTGTCTGATTACATTTGTAAGGGAACAAACAAACATATTAATCAAAATTATTGATTAAAGGATATCATATTTAAAATGTATTCCTATATGGTTTTTACATGTATCAGTCTCATCAAGAAGAACACATTTTTGATATTAAGTGGTAACCACCTTAATTACTGTCAATCTCAAAAGCAGCTGCTAACAAGTGATTTGACGCAGTGGACCGTACTGAATTGTGGGATACTTGTGGCTCTGAATACTGCTCCAAAACAGCTGCAAACTAAGTGTGTTGGCAAGTGTTGGCATTTTTGAGCCATGGGACTTTCCTACTAGCTTTTGCCGCATGAACACACACTCCAGTGCTCAAGAAAGCAAGTATGGACCCTGGGACGGATCAAATGTGTCAGCCTCTGCTGCTTCATTTTTGACCTGTTTTTTAATGTCTCTTGTAGGAAGTGTAATACTAATTCACTGCAGTACATTCATAATTTGGCTATCATTTTTTAGATTCATTCATTCATTGTTTAGTTGGTAAAATATCAGAAAATAGTGTCCCGGGAGCTGAAAATGACATCTTAGAATAGCTTGATTTGTCCAACCAACAGTCCAAAGCCATCCAATATAATGAAGATGGAATGCAGCCAGGAGCTCATTTGAGAATCTGATAACAATGAATGTGTGGCATTTGTTCTTGATCGATAACGGCACTGAATAGAAAACAATGGAACAAAATAGGATTAAAGTTAGTCAGTAATGAACAGAAAACAAGGAAATGATGTTAATATACACAATTACAGAGCAGAGCTCTAATGATACAGTGTCCTCCTAATCCTGAGAAACTGATTCGTGTTTAGTCAGTGAGGCTGGCTGTGTATTACTTGCTCAGATGCACTCTGAACAATTAAAGCAACCTGGCACTATTTAAAACGTCTAACATGGCATGCATCCACGCTCTGAGGCGGGGACTGTCAGTGACTTGAGGTGATGCTTGGCAGACTGACATTTTTTTTCTTGTCTAACTCTAATTTTTTACCCATCTCCCCTCACTCTCTGTCTTCTGTCTTTCTCTGCCTTGCCAAATTCCTCCTCATCTCTATTCAATCTGTTTCCTCTCATTCCCTCACACATCTTTCTGTCTGTACCCCCCTCTGGGGCTCATTTTCTTTTCTCTCTCAATCTCTTTCTCACTTGTCATCCCTCTCTCTCTCTCCGTTTACAGCCGCCTGGTGCAGTGTGAACAGGGACTGAGCATGAAGATATTCAACTACACGCCAAGACTCCTGGACACCCACTTCCTCTTTAACTCCTCTCCAACCCTAAAACCTTTTCCCCCCTGCGTTTCACTCGCTCTCACCCCCCTCCAAACCCCTCCTCTTTCAACCCTCACATTCCTCAACTCTTTTTGTAAGTACATGTTTACACAGTGCAAATGAATGGTGTCAACTGCAGTGAAAATTGAACTAACAGTGCATTTTACAATGTGAGATTCCTAAAATGCGTTTGCATCTCACCATAGTTGTTTGCTGGCTCAAGATATTGGGATTATGTCATGTTCACGTTTCAAGCAGCTTTGATCCACTGTAAAGTGGGGTTTGTCATGTAGCAAGGACCCTGGCGTTGAGTTTTTCATGTAGCAGTTACTTAGTTTTTGAATAGTGCATTTGGGAATGCGTTTTGTTTCTCTTCAATTAGGGTTGGATTTACCACAGGTAGCTCATTTAGCTGTTATTTCATCGTAGCTGCTCATCCCACATTTGCCTCCATACACAGTGTTCTAATGATTTTTTTAAAACTAAGCTACCCTACAAAATACTTTAGACATTATTCTTACATCGGCCATTTTGAACTCACATCAACATATTGAATAAATGAGGACTATCGACCGACCTAGTTGCCAGATTAGCTTGCAATCTCAGGAAAACAGAATGCTTGAATTTAGTTTGAAGGTTAGCTAGCTCCTTAGCTAGCTGTCCCCAAGTCACTGAGTTGGGGTAGTGTCAAGAAATATACATATTATGGTAAAAAAAACCATGATGGCCTTGCAAGCAGCGAATGGGCTTTTAGAAAGAAATAAGTATATTGTGTAATTTTAGAATTTCTGCACTGATAAGGACAAGAGCTAGCTAGGGCTAGCAAAAAGCAGAAACCAGAATCAGTGTTAGCTTCTGACAGCAGGCTGTAATAGGCCAAATTCCATTAGCCTGACTTTAAGACAACCACTGTTTTTCAAACATTTTTTTTTTTCTTGGGAAGGGTCAGTTTTGTAGTAGTATTAACAAGAGAGAGGGAGCTTTCACTCAATACCTAACTTTAAGCTACAGTCCTCTGCACGCTCGTGCTATCTGAGAACCAGGGTTACGTTGTAACTTTAGGTTTTAAATGCTTACTTACTTACTTACTTACATTTATACCAGTCTGTAACTGGCTGCAGCCACCAAGTCTGATTTTCTTATCGGCATATGTTATTTGACCTCAAAATGCAAACTTTTATTCTTTCAGACCTGTGAGCTTAATCTTGTTTCCGCACAATAAGTACATTTCTGCAGTGGCTGCTGTGGGAGTAATGTCTATGACGGTATATGAACTTATTTAGCATGTGTAAACAGCACTGGATTTTAATGAGCAACAGAACCCCAAACCCAAAACTTTGAAGACATTATGATTACATCTTACATCAGCACCAAAGGCCAGCCAATAGGAGGTATGATTAGATCCAAGTCTTCACAAATATTTGGGTATGTAGACACCAGTCTTTGATTGACAGACATGCAGAGGCACATTTAGAGAGTTAGTGATTTAGATCTTCATGTAGCTTTTATTTTATGAAACACTGGTTATGAGTTCAATCTCTGAATTTTAACATCAGGGTCATGTAAGATGTGAGATGAATAGATCGTTTTGCTGTCAAGGGATAATTCCTGACATAGAAAAGAATCTGCTGCTACCTTGAGACAGAAAAGAAAAGTAAAAAAGAGATAAAGGCAGCGCCTCACTGTTCTCCATGCAGCTAAAGTTTGTTTAATTTCCGCCTTCTGTTTATGTATTCCTTGTCTGAATTGGCGATGGGTAGCTTATATTAGCTGTGCAAGTCTAGTAGAGATTGTACATATGAAAATGTTGTTCTATTATGATTATATTTGTATTTATTGACATCTTTTAGTGCTATGGTGCAAAGTTTTTCTCAGTGGAAGTGGCAGTAGCTCTGTAGGCACTGCGGCTTCTCGTAACAGTTTGTTTGAATCAGAATACCTACCATTAGAAACTTCAGACAGAAATCCATCTGAATGACATTGAATATGAAGCCTTAAACATCACCACATGCTAGAGGAGGTTTTAAAAGGTTTTCAAGAGATGACTTTCTTTTTTGATATGGATTCCCAGTAAGCAGGGAAACGCCCACTAGTGGTCTTTCAGTGTGGAGCTCTTGGCATCAGACTACACAACACCAATATCGCAACGCATTACAATATTGATACAAAGATGGTTTCACTTTTGCATAAGTGATCAGTTCAGTTATCAACACATCACCGGGAAAATAACCTTCACTTCACATCACTTAGTATACTGTAGCTGATAGATCAACCACCTCAGCATCAATCTATAACACACAATGATCCTATATATTGCCACGGTCAACCCCAATTATTGGATACAAGGGTCCCTTACCCATAATTCAACTGGAGGACATTACAGAAAAATGTGGACCATCAGAATGCAAATGCTAGATTGGTCTGAACAGCAAAACATAAGACAAGACCAACATCTGGAAGCTCTGTTGAGAATATTATTGCCCAATGAGAAAGCTGTTCAGTGAAGGACACGTTTGGCCTCACAATAGAGTCTGTCATTCTTTGACTCCTGTGCATAGTTTTCATTTTGGCCTTTCTCTCTACGATGCATACAAGTAGATTGAAACCTCTACTGTACGTTATACAGAATTGTGACAATGTGTCTACAAACTGCTGAAAAAATAAGGTTCACACACTGAATAAAGTCTTGTCTTATTTTCTCTGTTTGGACTTCCCCATGGAACTGATCAGACCCACCTCTGCATCTGCTCTGATCTTTCTTGACAAAAACAAATCTCACCTTGTTACAAACTTAACTCATCCGTTTACCCTGTGAGGTCAAATTACCCAGATTCAGTCCCCGAGATGCCTCACCTAACCTCACCACCACCAACACCGCTACACACAGCCCACCAATCAGACCCTAACTCAGAAAGCACAATGTAAAAAAAAGTTAAAGATACAGTATATTAGAGGTTGTTGAGTGTGAAGAGAGTATTTAGAGATATATAGTATAACTGTTTATCTGGTTAAAGGTTTGTTGATGAATCACTCCTTCTTTATAGCTCTATACTTTCAAAAAGGTGCCATCTTGCCATCCACCTCATTGTTGACAATTTTCCTCTGTGAATGACAGCCTGTCTGTCATCTGCCAGTACTGTGGTACCAGTGGGGATCCAGCTACACCGATACCAATATCCATCCTGCACCGTGCCCTTCTTTTAGAGCACTGGGTTGCATTGCGCAGGGCAGGGCTATGTGGAAGTGTTGAATATTATTAAATATATTGTAACAGAATTATGTATTACAGTAGGCTTATAGAACAGGCATGCAAAGGCATTGCTGCTTTATCTGTGAAATGTCTCTACTAATCTCTGAGTGTCTGTGTTAAAGGTGTCCTGTGGAGTTTTTGACCACCAGTAGCGCTACAGGGCAATGTTTTCACTGTTTTGTTTGTGTGGTGCAGGCAACAGGGTACACATTCTTGCCGCTGGTTTCCCTCTATTTTGCTGGTCAGCGGTTAGTGGCGGTACAGCTGACAACAACATTAGTTAGACCTCAAGGAAACACAAAGTGGAGCTGTTCTGTCCCTTAGCATCTGCGCTTTAGCTAAAGTTGCAGGGGTTCTAAATGCAGACGCTAGCTAAACTAAATGGGCATAACCATGGTATAATGTCAAATAAGAGCCAAACAAATATTTAAATGACATGTGGACCAACTGACATTTTGGACACTAACATTGATTTGTGCAAATATAAAAAAAAATGTTAATGTAAAAAGAACATTACTTTAGTTACCTCATGAGATGTACTACTGGGAAAATTATATTTTAAATCCTGTGTCCTGTTCCCAGTAGCAGAAATCAAACATATTATAGTTGGTGCAGAATGCAGCAGTGAGCTTTCTGACAAACACTAAATGCAGAAACTGGATTACACCGGCTCCCTATAGAGTTCAGCTGAAGAACTCGGTAAACACCTTATTCTGCCACTCATTTGACTCCCTCATTGCTGTTTCTATAACACCATCTTCTTCCAAATGATCAGAGTACCACAGACCTTCCCTTACGTCTCTCTTAAACCGTGTGTGCGTCTGGGTTAGTTAATTAGTTAATTAAAACAAAACTAAAATTAGTTGTGAGAAAACATTTGTTAGCTGAAATAAAAATAAAAACTAGATTTCAGAAGAAGAAAAAAAAATAGAATATTGCATACTTACAAAATCAACTAAAATAAACTAAAAATATACAGGGAATGTCGTTTTAGTCTTTGTCAGTTTGGTCAATCAAAACAACCAACCAAGCACGTTGTCTGGGACTTACATGTATACACTAGTATTTATGGAAGTGGAAAGTGCAGTGATGGTTTAACATCTGCTAAGAAGTTATAAAATTTGTGTAAAATGTTAACTATTAAATATTATTATTATTATCCTGGCCATTAAAATTAATGCAAAAACCATGAATATCATGCATTTAGTATGATGTCATAAGACTGACTTTCTCTCAGCACCCCCAACTCTGACTGATTTCAGCATCCCTGCATATTATCAGAAAAAAAAATAATAAAAACAAATAGAAACTACCAGAACTCTAGTCTGTAGTTAAACCACAGTTAGGATTTCTACAGTGATTTTAGTTCCAGACAACTCAGATTTAACCCCATCCTAAATCTAAAACTGCAGCTAAGCTAGTGACAGAACAACAGTGAGAAACAATGAATGTAAACATGACTTTGGTTTGTTCCCAAGAAAGCTCCACAGACTACCTTTCACATCTTAAAAAATAAAACTACTCACTACGAACTGTCGAAGCTTGTTTGCGTTCGAGAGGAAGCTGCTGTATTCCGAATAGAAACATAAAGCCATATTGCATGGATTGATGTTTACATGTCAGTGACTCACTATACTGATAGCCATAGTTTTACAGTACTCGAGTGCCCAGCTGAATGCAGCCCAAGCGCTCTGATCGGAGGCTCCTGTCCTGTACATTGTGCCCAGCTTGGTTGGGTTGTGTATATGAGGTAGATAGTGAGTGAACTGTCAGAAATGCCAATACTGTTTCCTATTGATACATTCCTGAATGTCCCTCAGACTGTGCAACCTGTTCTTTTCTATCCTCCTACTCCTCAGTGCAACCTGTGCTTCGTCATACAATGGAAGAGTTGTGCCGTTGAGGTGCAGTGAAACATTGAATGTCTCCTGGCAACATGACAAGATTAACAATGGGAGGACGTTAGGCCTCCTGTAGGCAGCAGCAGTTTCTGTAGCCGTAGGGAAGCTGGTGGACAGGAAGCAGGTCACCAGGTTTACCTCAACAGGTGTTGTTACATGATACCAAGCCAATCAGGAATTTGCCAAACTGATCAAGGTCATAACTCTTCCCTTCTATGGCTGTGTTCTTTTCTATCCTTCAACTGAGTGCATGTCAACTGAATGTCCAGTAACTTCTTTGCTGTAGTATTAGGCCATGCTACTCTTCAATGGGTTTTGTGCATTTCTTACCTTCTTTCTTTTCTAGTATTCCTATGAAGGAGACAGAGACTAAAATCTATTATATAAAATATATATGACTAGAAAAATGGCATACAAGAATGAACATTCACTTTTATGGCAATGTTTAATGAAATATTAATTCTTAATGTATGTTTCAGTAAAACAGCTTTCTCTTCTTAAGTGTAGAGACTTATTGCAGGGATGCAAGTATTATATTTGGTCTTTAAAGAATATCTTGTTGAAATTCTAGACGATGTAGAGTGATGCAATTCAATAAAACAATAAAACTGAAAACTGTGCTTTGTGGCTTTTAAATCCTGCTGATGATTCACATTGGGGCTCGTTTCATGCTGAAAGCGTCTGGCACATCTGTGATTCATTTCAGCCTTCATTCATCCCGTGGTGGAGTGTCTGTCCTGATGGAAGTCCAATCATTCAGTGTGACAATCCTCAATTCACAAATGTTTACTTTATGGTTTGACGAGTGTTCAAATGAGGTAAGCCATAAACCTGAACTCAAACCAGCAGGGACCTACATTAGGACCTCCTAGAGCTCCTAATGGCATTTGCAAGAATCCACCGGCCCTGAACTAAAACAACCAATCAGAGCTGAGAAAGATAGTTGATTGGTGAGTCTCAGTCCCAGGGTCCCAAAGTGTAAGTCTATTTAATGCCCTGGGAATGAGACCCCAACCCAGTGAAAAGTGTCTTTTTAGCTTTCTTGGCTCTGATTTGTTGCAAGAACCCACCGGGCCTGGACGAAAACAAATACAAATTAGTAGCACTAGGAGGAGCCAGAGGAACCTGGTTGTTTCACAGATTATCTATGTTCTACTGTCAGGATTAATGACGTTTCAAGCTAATATGACAAAAAGTTATTTTTCTAAGTTACCATACTGGGCAGCTTAAGTTCCGCCTGTGCACGTCCATAACTCCAACACAATGAAATGCACAATGGAAATCATCACAAGAGAAGTACTCAGGAT